CCGGGTTCTCACCGGACCAGGCTCTCACATCACCAAGCGCGAAGCGCCGTGAGATATTCGGCGAGTCGCATGAAGGGTGCGCTGCATCCTGCTAAGGGTGTTCGGCATCTCGTGCTTACTACCTTGTGAGAGCTGCGTATGACTTAATTTATTTTCTGGTGCTCTCACTTCCAGAGACAGTTATAAGCACTGTGTAACTACCTCGAGGGTGCTTGACCATTTTAACACAACGTGGTGCGATCATCCCCCTTGCGCGGAGCGAGGGTTCTCGACCCCGCACAACATGACCTACTCGACCACCATTATGGTTGCCGCCAAAAAAAAACAGAGGTAAAAAAAAACGGTATCCTGGTTGCCGACTTCACGAAGTGACTTGGCTTGCTTTACAACGTCATTGCCAAGCGACGAAAACCCACCCCCGATGGCAAACACCAGGGGGGGGGGGGTACTCACGTTTTGCATGCCTTAGCTGCTAGGCCATTGGCCACAAGTTCTCATGAGGACGGAAGGTATGTGGGTACTTATACCTTGCCTACGACAGAGGCGCATTGTTTGGGGCCATCTTGAGACACTTCGAGACGGCATAGCTGTCAAGATAAAAAAAATATTCCAGATTCTATGGTGAACAAGCACCTCATCGCGGGTGACTCCCCGTTCCTTTTGAACAAGTGGCAAATACTGATTCGACCCGTTTGCTGGTAGCGGATTTTGGCTGCCAACCCCATTCGCGCGTCAGGCATGACTGCATTTGGAGCTTTATCGGCTACGAAGAAAGAAGAATGGGCTTCCGCGCCAGCGGGTCTAGTTATACACTTCAGGGCATCTGATGTCGAATACAACAAGCCGCGAATATCGGTTGCACTGGACTTTTACTCATGAGGAAAAAATAAGTACAAACACAGATTACCCATTCGATATATAACCACAGTTTTACGCCGGAGGATGCTCTGATGGATCGATCTAGGCGCCTTTTCTTGCTTGGACAGGTGGACACTGTATGTCTTTCTAGTCACAAATAGTGTCTATTCTACAGTACGACACATCAAACCGCTTGTCTATGTCTATGAGGCCCATTGACGCCAAAAACACACTTCTCACGCTTTGGTTCAGCGAGGCGAAACAGCAAGTGAAAACTGGTTCACGTCGTGTGACTAATCCCACTGATCTTGGATATGCGTTTTGTACGCAACATGTGTGATCGCATCGCCAGCTACACCCGGTACCGCAATCCGACACGATCATAAGAATCAATAAACGGCTGGGGTGAGCAGAGTACCCGAAAGCGACCATGTTTTCATCATATGGGGGTACCTGCACCCTCAAGAGCTGGCCTGCCGTGCGCGTGAAGAACTTTGTGCGTGCAAAGCAAACACAAACGCACAGCAGGCTGGCTCTCGAAGGTGCACGTACACTCCCATGGTGAAAAACACCGTCGCTCTCGGGTACTATGCTCACCCAGCCGTACATGCATCGTTATGATCGGGGGCCACCTCGCATAGGTTCACGCTCAGAGTGATAGATCACTCACAGATTGTGTCTGCATGAGTTTCACCGCCGTGTCACCTCGGTCAACCATGGCGGTAGAAAGTGGGTTGTTTGCGGGAATGAGACATCACTCGTTCGCTACAAGAGGAAGTCGAGGAGCACGGTCGAACAACGTGAAACCATGCTTGAGGAGAGGGAGAAGAAGACGAGCTCTCCCGGAGCCGTTGGACAACGAAGATGCCACTTTCAATGCCTGAAGAAACAAGGAAAATTCATGGTCCCGCGTGCGTTTCCTGACAAATCTCGGTGATGCTTTGCCCGACGTAAGCAAGGGGTTGCCATGCTCTTGTGGTGTCCACGATGCCCCAACGGTACTTCGCCGATTCCGAAAAACATCACCCCTCCAAAGATCTCCAACCACATCTCCTTCTCTCCCTCGATGGAGAGAACGCAATCGCTACACAGAAGTACATGTAACTGCTGTGGGCAGCATAGTCTACACCAAGGGTAAGTGAGAACCATCGAAAAATCGGAATAGCATGAAGCTGTGATGTACAGATGCTATTGATACAATATTCGCCAATTGTAACAGTAGGTAGCAGCACCAGACGACGAATGATGACTTCTTTTCGGACATAAAACATCGGCGCCCTTCCATGGGCGATGAGAGTCGTCCCGTCGTACCTTCTTTTTCGCCAGGGCTGCCTTCTTTTCTGCCCGCTTTTTCTCATCCGCCGCCCTGGCCTTCTGCCTCGTCAACTCCTCCTTCTCCGCGATTGCCTTCTGCCGACGAACCACCTGTGTTCCCCCCCCCAAACAAAAGTCGCGGATGAGGACACACAGCAGCGAATTAAGCAGCGTTGATGCCGAGAAACTCTCCATGGATGCTCAACGCTGGCGGGACTACAGCTTCAGGTAACGACCTAATTTGAGCTCCCGATACAAGAGAGAAAGGCGCACAGGGGCGGAACTTATACTGGGTATCCGTGTGTATCTGTGGGAAAGGTCAGAGAGGTCGGTTGTACGGTGAGGACAGGAGGTACGGGACGAGGGCCACGGTTTCAATCGGACAGAACCTTGTACAGCGGTGTTTCGTGAAATCAACCAGTGGTGTATACCTCACTTGAGCACTATTTCGCCTGCTCCTGCAGTTGAGGAAAGTCTACTCTGTCAGGGTGAAGCCGTCACCTCCGACGGGCCTCTCGGCGAGGTGAAGACCAGAGGTAACTTAAGGTAAGGCCGTATAAATAAGGCCGGTCGGCCGATAGAAGGCCGGTGAAATCGCTTGGCACAGATGGATTATTTAAGCTGTCTCATGGTGCCGGATGTTGCATACAAGGCCGGTAAAATCCTGCGGCACCAGGCGGCCTTAAGGCACCTTCTCTTCCGTACTCTATGGAGCTGCTTTTAGATGCGAGCCGGACAACCCCTTGGATCGGCTTGGAGGCTGTCGCAAGCCGATGACTCCGAGCGTATCTATTACTGAGTATTTAAAATTGATATAATTGTTGAGAATTACGGGCGACGAACAAGATCCTCCTCCTCCGCCTCCCTATGCGACTGTAAACGTTCTCATTGTCTCGTACCCACGGGTTGCTGCTGAAGTAGACTGTTGTCGATGTACAGCAAGAGGAGTGACTGCCTGACTGCGGGATATTTCCAGATTTCCAGACGTGGAAAAAATCTTGAGTTGATCTACCGGTGATGGCTCCATCAAACTGCGATGTGTTTTTGTCGCGAAAGCCCTCCTGGCACACAGAGGCTCAAGGTTCACGCAGTAGCCATCCACGGCCCTTACGTGAAACACCTCACAAACCGCGTGCACATACTGTGGATACACGAAACAACCACCGACCTGTCCGTATCCAGCCGCTATCTACCGTCCGTGAAAGCAATTTCGTCTCTTACAGCAAACAGCAGTATCTGACCTTCAGAAGGCTCTCCTCCAGCTGCGCCTCGCTGGCGCCGGTGTAGAAGTCGGTCTTCCTGCGAAGGAACCCGAAGAACGACTCGAGGAGGTTGTCGATCCCCTGGTTCTGCTGGGCGAGGTTGAGGTACATGCCGTCGAAGCGGTCATTATCACCTGGCGACGACATCGTTGCTTTTTCTCCCTGCTGTCTAACTCTACTCCCCTCCCGATTGGGTCCTGGTACTGCCACGCCGGAATTCAGAAAACGTCTTCAAGTTGTACAGAAAATAGGGCTCTTGTGCGTGCACGCCGGCGGGACGACGTGGTGTTGCCTCGTGACTGCTATGAAGTCAGACCAGAGCAGAGAGAGCACGCACCAGGCTGCAGGCACGGGCACGAGGCCAGAGGCAAGGGGAGGGGGGGCCGCAGCTAAGATAACCACCCCTATGTCTCGTTTGAAAAGGGGGTCCGTGTCTCAAACACAGCCCGCACCCGGCAACCAACAACCAAGCAAGGGCCAGCGCAAGGGCAAACGAAACAAACACCACACAGCAGCAGCAGCGGCGATCGAGAGAGAAGGGGAAACAAAAGATTAACCAGACCACGCCCGCATCCACCATGTCTGACTTCGCTCAGCTCGCCGCCAAGGCCAAGGAAGATGGAGCGGCCGCCGCCGCCGCGCCTGTCGACACCACGAGCGAGACGGCCGCGCCCGCCTCCGCAGCAGCAGACGAGGGAGCAGGGGCAGCGGCTGAGGAGGAGAGCACTGCGCAGTTCGAGCCCGTGGTTCAACTGGAGGAGGTGGAGGTGAAGACACACGAAGAGGACGAGGAAGTTCTGTGGAAGATGTGAGTGTTGGTTGTTTTGAGGCGCGACGACGACGACCCACGGGAAATGGAGGGAGGGAAAAAGGGAACAACAGGCAATATCCCGCGCCAAATTTTTGCTTGGTCCCGAAGCACGCCAGCCAGCTGCTTTGCTGCTGGCTGTCGCTGAATCAGATTGACTGCAGCAGCGACAGGGATGAGTTCCGTAGCTAACCGTGCATGCCACACGCATTCGGTGTGTGTTTGGCGCGCGTGGTGTGTGGCAAGACGACCATGACCGGGGGCGCACCTTGTCTGTGTTGAATTTACTCGTATCAATGCGAGGGCTTTACAGCAGTATCCCGGCGCGGCAGCGAAGTGATCATACTGTGCAGCAGCAGCAGCCCAACTAGCCTAATCCCCAGCGTTTTGGTCGAACGGGTCTGGTAGAGAAACCCTCTTCCCGTAGGTGAGAAACCAAAGCAATACTGCTGTGCAGTATGCATACCTGATGTGTTTTTCGGCCCCAAGAGAACCTTGTGCGGCTGGATTTGAATCGCGCAAGATGAGTGTCTGCTGTCGATCTCGATCGAACCTCCCTCCGCTCACCTGACGATCCTCTGCTGTTACACTTGGCAATCCACTGCTGTGCATCGGCTGGGGTAGGGGGGGGGGGGCGTGTCTCTCGTGTGCTTGCTCAAAACTTTTATGGGGTACACGAGATCCTCTGTCCCCTTGTCGAAAATACAACCTGCATGGGAATCAGGGCTCGTCTACACGCAGTAGCCTTCGTTGTAGGGGGCCTGGTTTATCGCCTGTAGGTAACGAGGCAGTTTGTTGCAGGGCGGGTCGCTGTTGCCCGTATGCCGATGATGATTCGGGGTGCAGCCGTGCTGCCATGCAGTTTGTGGTCACTATTCATGGGCATGTTGTTAAACCGGGACCATCATCTTCTGTAACATGGTGTTGACATGAAGCTACGGCCGCATCTATCGTGCGATGTCACTCCGTGCACGCTAGATCGATCACGTGCCGTGGTGTCTTGGACAGCATCTCCCAAGAACGAGTGTAAATATGCATGAACCAATCATGAAGCTTGCAAACGTCGAACGCGATGCACGAAGCAGCAGCAGCAGCAGCAGCAGCAGCAGCAGCAGCAGTAGCAGCAGCAGCGGCCACTACAGCCCCTCCCTCCGTCTTGCCCCGTTTCATCATATCCTCCGCTCTGACGGTCAATTTGCATGTGTTTGGGCTGCTGACCTCTTCCGGGAGCTCCGTCTTAAAAATGTGTTGTGTTCTATGCTTGCTCGTTTCCGAAACATGAGCCTGAACCCTGTCTCGTATGAACGATCTGCGTCGACGTTGAGCGTCCTCTCAATAAATAATCAAAATGCAAGTGATACGCTCGCGTCGCTGCTGGGGACATTGCCTGCCCACCTTTCGTCTCCTCCCCGCAATATTTGACCCGTCACTACCTGTACCCTCTTGTGAACGTCGGGTGTCTGCACTCCCTGCCTGTCATTCCTGTCTGTGGTGGTCCCTCACCTCCAGGCGCGCTAAACTCTTCATTTTTGGAGAGACATTGCTTAACAAGGGGACTGGGCAGAAGGAGTGGGTGGAGAGAGGCATCGGCGAGGTCAAGTTCCTCCAGTAAGTTTATAGAAGAACCTTTATTTGGCAGTGGTGTGTTATGTTGTAGTCACTCACGTACGTATACCCTTTTTTGTCTGACCGAGGCAGCGACCTGTTCCCGTTTTTATACGGGAGCAAGTGGCTCCTCACACGTGCGTGTCTACCATAGTGAGCGCTCGTGGTATTCACTGCGGGAAAGGAAGCGTTGTTAAGAGCCACGAGGCGACGGTTTTCGCGTATCGTCCCACTTGTCCGAGCCTTTTCGTCGTAAGAACGTACCCCTGCGGAGACAAAGCCCACCAAGAGTCGTTGATGAAGCCTGCGGGCGTCTCCATGTTGCTCTTGATGCACTGCTCAGTGCAAGTCGTGCGTGCATTTTTCTAGATTAGAGCGACAACCCACTTGACTGGTGTGCGACAACCGGGTGTGCTGGTACGGTGGATTGATCGTGGCGTCTGGCACTTGGAGGCATTGTTTTTTTTTGTTGGTCCGTGTCATGATGTCCATGGACAGTGATAAGTCATTGTGTGAGAGGCAGCGCGACTGACGTTGACTGACGTTGTTGCCGAACATATCTCACATTTACGTAAGTTGCAGCGCTGCTACGTTGGCCATGCAAAGAGCGCCTTGGCGAAATGGTTGGGGATCGTCGTCGTCATCGGATGGTCCGTTTGGTACTAGAGAGTACCAGGCTCCGGCTTGCGGCCCTTGCGATGTTTCCACCCCGCGCGATCTCTGATTGTCGTCAGCGGATCGTCCGTTTGGTAGCAAGAAGTGCCTTCTACACCATGCGGCCTTTGCGGTGATTCCACCAATTGGAGATCGCGAGGGGTGGAATGACCGCAAAGGACGCAAGCTGGAGAAGGTGTTCTCTACTACCAAACGGACGATCCGATGACGATGATCCCGAAAAGAAGAGAGGAGCAATAACAAGGTACAGTAGGGGGCCCTCTATAGTGCCGGTATGTGTTCAGAGAGCAAAGCGGCACTATACCGGGCACCGGCACTATTCAGAGTACAGAAAGACTTGATATTCCGGTGTGTGCGAGCCGAAAACACCGGCACTATACCGGCAACCGGCACTATATCGGGCCACCCACTGTACCTCCCGGAGCGCCGGTCTACATTCATCACCACGAAGCCCCTACCCCCATGCCTGTCCCACGGTGTGTCCAATCCAATCGGCCTGAAACCGGTGATTCGACGTGAAAATGAAACAGGCACAAGGTGAACCGGTTCGTGCGCGTGCTTATGCGGCAAGAGAAGACGATGAAGGTACGAAAGACCATTCACGGTATTGAAGACCAATTTACCACGCATGCAAGCCATGGGTTGGGTTCTGGACCTTGAACGGCCTGTGTAGCTATATACACAGCCCTTTGGGGTTGGTTTGCTTGTACACCTGAGGCCGTGTCGACGTCTTGTACGGTAGATATCATCAATGAGCTCTCGGCGGATATGTTTGGACGGTAGCGAAGATAATCACGTGCTTTCGTTGCTCACCGTGACGCTAGTGTATCGCAACACAGAACGCGCCCGCACTTGAGAACCTCCATTTTGTTCCGGCCCTTTGGCTGGTAGTTCCTAGGGTAGTGCTACGAATGGTCGCTACCTAGGTTTTAGTGTAGCGGTTCTTAACCGAGCTCACAAACGGTCCCAAAGTTCTTGAGGTTTGTTTTATTTAAGGCTAAATCAATTTCTGAACTCCTTGTTGCGATCGATCATGGATGACACTGTTTTGTTTTTTGGATGTTCGCCCGATCAAATCGGCACCCATGCTCAGTGTTGTCAGAAATTGTTACTTTTGAAACCGTCAGAGCCTTCCGGTCCAATCGCCAGAATTATCTTGCCCGCCCTGTGACATTACCTAAGTGGGTAATTTCTCGTCCAACCTTCAGGCAGTAGTAACGGTGAAGACCATGCCATGATCGCACCAAGTCTCTTATCCAAACGTCACACACGCTCGCTGTCTATCCGTATAATGGTCAAGTTACCACGTCCATGGATCATTATCAATCGCGGATTGTTATTATCCTTGGAACGTGGCCAAGATTATACACTCAAACTTTCGTCATATTCGGCGGCTTACGGAACGCGCCCACAATTTTTCACAACACACACAGGTAATCTGCAACCACGTCGCGGACCCCCGCATCGTCCTGAAGCCGAACGCGGGCTCCGACCGTTCGTGGGTATGGAACGCCTTTGACTTCACCGAGGGGCAGCTTGAGGAGATGACGTTTGCCCTGCGCTTCGGGAACTCAGACTCTGCCAACGAATTCAAGGAGGTAAACAAGCACAGAAATCGAAGTACCGTGGATGATTGTTGCTGTCTTCACGTGTTAAACAGTTCCGATCTCTCTACCCAGTACGTTTATATGTGGACTCCCGTGGTCACAGACTAACTTACCCTACTTAAAGGGTACATGTACTCACATAAAACGGACCGAAGGGTCTGCAAGCCAATTGTAGGCTGCATAAGACACTACACCCCCTGTGCCGATTGTCAAAGCACGGGTACTCGGCAGCAGAGCAGAGACGGTGGCGGTGTTGGAGCCGCCTGGTCGAAAGCTTTCCGAGAACGTGTAACGTACTTCGATTTTGGCATATATCTTCTTCGTCGTGGAGTAATCGAGTTTTGAAAATCGGTCCGGGGGGTTGGTATCTTGTGTCTCATGTCGCCCACGGTACGCACGTGTGTGTGTGCAGCCAGAGGTTCGCCCGCGTACGTTGATGTATGCATGCATACGTCCGTTTGTAACGGCAATTAAGATCTACCGTTTCGTTCCGCTCGAAAGGTAACACCCCCCCCCCCCCCCCCCCCCCCCCCCCCCCCCCCC